TAGTTTTTGAAACTGCGATTGATATGAAAATTTGACTGTTGGTGTCTGAATGGCATACTAATTCTAATTTCACATTTCACCACAACTACGCTATGATTGCTATTTGCTATGCCATGGCACTATGTAACACGGAGGATGAGGATGTTCGTAAAAACAGGGTGTTTGTTTTAAATATACAAATAAAAAAACTATTTAAATATAAATATTTCGAAAAATAGCGCCGTCTTTCAGATTAGATGTAAAATAATTTGTATGTGGCTAGTAATATATTTGTTAACATATGTTTTAAGCTAAAACAGTCACTTCACGACAAATTGTGGCTTGCATCCTTTTTACACCAAGGGCTTCAATTCACTATTTTTATTTTTTATTAACAAATTTGGATTAGATATACCTAGTAACGTCAGGGCCGACTAGAGGGGAGGTGGCAGCCGGGACAAATTCCTGGGGCCGGACTCAAATGGGGGCCCGGCAACCGGATTTTTGTTGTAGAGAATTGTCCTGGGGACTGGCCTAGCTCTCGGTGGCCCTGAGTAACGTTAACACTAATTTTGGTAGTAAACAGCGACACTGATTAAAAAATATGAAAATGTTTATGCAGACAAAATATTAATATTGACTAACAGCATTTATATTTCTTGAAAATTAAATACCTATGTAGTTTCAAAAAGAACACACGTGTGCCGGTAATATTAAATGAGGGTTAATGGCATTAAAATTACCACTGTTGAAAATCAATACATAGGTACCTACTAGTCTTCCACCATAAATAAATGGAAAAAATTAAATAAAAAAATCTGAAAAACTTACCATTCCTTTTCCCATTTGCAGTAGATGCTCATCAGGAAAAGATGGTGAAATCGGTGGCAGAATAATATTGTTCAAAGGCACTTTTTTGAGTTCAACTAAAAGATGTCTTCTAGCGTACCCCAAATGTTTCATTTTTACCTTTAACCTAAAAAAACAATTGATTGTCTAGAATATAAGATTAATATCGGTGTAGTAATAAATGAAGTATAAAAATTGTTGGTAAAATTTGTATGTACAAAATTAAAGATATTTTAGAAGATTTGTAGAATTAGTTCTATACCATCGGTATTATTGTCAACTGTTGTATCTTTATCAAAATCGCGTCGAACAATCAGCTAGTCTGTCTCTGTTTATTAGTCAGGCCGCAAATAAGACTATTTTTTTCTACATAATGTATAGACGGTAGTTTACCCAAAAGGAGGACAGAGACAACAATAAAGGACGATTTTGGATTAAAAAAGAGTCTCAAATTTTATATACAATATATTATAATTCTAACATAAAATTCGAGAGGCCCTAAATTGATGGTTTCCACCTTATCAAGACTCAAGGCCCACAAGGGTAAACTCGTAAAAAAAACGAGAAATGATTTGATTTGGAACGAAAGATCGAAAGACGATAGTATAAAGATGCTGAATTTTCGGGTTTGTGAAGCATTGCTACTAATTAGTTTAAACCACGTGATGATTGTTACAAGCCTTGATTTTTAAAACCATTTCATATCGCTTTTTGATTAGGGTTTACATCTTGTTTGAACAATTTACCTCTTAAGCCTATTTATCTAAAAATATTTGGTTGTTTTTAAATATGTCCATGTAAAATTATAAGATCCCTCTACCCCTTTAGCCTGCTCATGTAAAACTATTTATTTTCTTTGTCCTTTAGACCTGTCCATGTAAAAATATTTGCACCCACTGCCCCTTAAGCCTACCTACTTATAGAAATTTAAAATATTTTCAAAAAAACGACAATATCTTCCCTCATTTTTGTAAATTTTTTTTGGTTTTCTGACAATACATTCCATAACGGGGTGTGTCTTTTAACACAATACCAACTTTCTTATTTAAAATGCAACACCCTCTATATTTTCTTAGGAAAATAACGAGTAAAAATAGCCAAATGGAAGACTCCTCAATGGAATTTGAGACCAGGAAAGCCGAGGAGAGAGAGGTTAGGCAGTTATGAACGATTTATAAGAAAAACAAATATCAAAGTGAAGGACAGAAATAAATATAAAAACAGTTCAAAGCTATAGGCCTAATTAACCTGGACCAACCACGCTTACTATATTAATACTAAAACATGATGCACCCTGTAATGAAAAAGAAAATAGGATTAAACAAAAATCAAAACATTTTTAATTTTAATGGTTTATAAATGTTTTAACACTTCCATAAACCCATCAGTATTTTCTACATTTATCTATAATAAGTTCTTTCATAACGACCCTTATTTTGTACTCTTACATACAGTGTGGAACAGCCAAATGGAATAAATTCGATGGAATGGCCAGCACTATCCCCTGGTCTGATATCATTAGACTTTTTCTTACGGGGATATGTCAAAAGTATTGTATACAAAACTAAACCTCTCGACCTAGCTGACTTAAGAAGACGAATAACGCTTGCGATTAGATCGGTCGCGCCTGAGATGTTGAGTAACGTTGAAAGACATTTTTATTTCAGACTAGGATGTTGCCAAGAGGTTCACGGCGAGCATTTTTAACATCTCTTACATTGAGATGTGTTTTTTTTGTTACATTATGAAGAAATAAACAGTATTACTTATTAGTTTTTGAGTGTATTGTAACGAATTTCTGTAATTAAATTATTTTATTTTATTAATGTTAATTTTGGCAATAAATCGGAAACATTTAATATTTCCGAAACAGTTATGTCCCATACAGCACAAACACATTTCAGAAATATTTCACAAATATTACATTGAAACGTTTGTAATGATGTATTAATATTACGAAGCATCCCAGAAACATTTCTGAAATGTGCCTGAAACGTAAAAATGTCCGGTAAATATAATATTTCATAGTAATATTTCTGAAATAAAAATTTTAAATATTAAATAGAAATATTAAATACTAATATTTCAGAAATGTATTCTAGCTTTTTTTTCTAAAATAATATTAGACTAAAAAAAATTTATAAATATACATGTTTATTTAAAATACACAAAACTCAAACATTGATTCTTAAACATACAAACAAACCAAACAAACAAATAAATAATTTTTAAACATTATTTCATAAAATATAAAGGGGAATCGCTTCATTTCCACAAATTCCTTCAAATGCACTAATCTCAAACAAAGTTTTTTTTTTAATAAATGCCCCAAGTAAAGAAACATTTACGATTGTTACAATGTGATCATTAAGATCAATTGGCAATTTTAATCTAATCAAACTTATTAAGGGATGAAAAACTTCATACACTAATATTCTACTCACTAGTATACCTCAGAGTCTAATTATTTAGTTACACTACCGTAAACATATAACACACTATACTCTGCTTTAACATCACTGAACTAACTCAAAAGGCTTGGTTCTCTTGAGTCTTCTTATTAGATTGGCATTGATTGTTGAAGAGGTTTTCAAGGTTTTCATGTTGGAGCAGTCGTTGTTGGTGACTACTGGCAAATTTTTGTATTGTATTTTCAACAGTCTCTACTTTAAGGTCCCTATGAAGATCAGTATTGTTGCAGTACCAGGGAGCGTCGACGATGTTCCTTAATACTTTATTCTGGAAACGTTGAATAACCTCGATGTTACCAAAGCTGGCGAATCGCTTCATTTTCACCAATTCCTTTAAATTCACTAATCTGAAACAAGGTCTAATAATATTGCTTTAAATTAACTATAATAAAACAAACAATACTCATACCTACACAAAACATGAAGCTCTACTTTTCAATCAGCTGTAGAACTAATAAATAAAACTGGTGGAGGGACAGCAAATGTAGGTTGTTTTTAAATAGAAATAAGAATATAAAATGCCTATAAATTCGATAAAAGAAATGGCGTCATTCTTCTCAGAGAAGAGATAAAGTTAATAAACCTAACTTAAACAAGCATTGTAATACTCGCCTCAATTTCTAAAGACATATACTGTCTATTCTGCTTCCCATATAACAACAGCACAACGCATAAATAACAAAAAAAGGAAATGACAAAAACCGACAACTCAAATCTATAATTATTTAGAATATAGGGTTGTCTACACAGATTACTTACTCTGGCTGGACATAGGATGAAATAAAATAAATACATATTCCATCTTGATCTTCTTACAAATCAGAAATTCTTTATTAATTGTTGGCCTTTTACAACATAACCCGTTTAGTAACCTTTTGTGTAACATGTATACCATGTTTCAGAAACATTTTCAGTGAAATATTTAACTAAAATATTTCAGAAATATTTCAGAAACTTCTGCTTGAAATGTTATGTTTGAAACGTTTGAAATATTTCTGAAACACTGCTAAAATAATGTATGCTATATGGGGTATAGAACATAAGATATGTCCAGAATTTTCTGAAGAATCCAAAAATTGAAAAATATACAGGGTGTTGCATTTAAAATAAGAAAGTTGATATTGCCCTCTGTTACATGATACACCCTGTATAAAAAGTTTTTGGTAAAAAAATTCGCAATTAAAAATACCAATCGACGTATCGGAGCGTTTTCCGAACACGCTCTGTATAAGTTGTGCACATACGGATAGGCCTAATACTTTTACCTTTGGTAGTATTTGGGAATTCGACGATTGTTAAAACGTAGTAGTTTCAAAGCGGGCGATATGTTCCGTAATAAATTCAGTTCAGGACAATAAAGAAGTATCGGCAACAGCGCTTTCCAACTTCGCGGATCGATCAGCCCGGTCCCCGGTCGATAAGAGAGTTATTATATTTTCTACTATTGAAGATGTTGGCTATTTTTGGTTCTCATAATACATATTTGTAAAAAGTATAAGAAAGTAAAAATTTATTGTTGATCATCTGTTCATCATTTATTCCTGTGTGCTGATATACCACTAAAAAAACCACCAAACCAATTCCCAACTAACAGGAAGTTTGCAAACCTACGCCAACCCAGCGCAAATGTTCCTTTGCCCCCGCATTATTAAACTTTTCGTCCCTTCGTATTTTGTGCACGAATTTTTAAACGATACACACTGTAGCTTAGCAACCGTTGCCCAGCAACTGACAGGTGTTGTAAAGCCACGGCGACAACAAATTAGACAGCCGGTTGCTAATGAATGCTTTTTGAAGTTGAATTATTTGGCAAATGATTTGTAACATTTTTACGTCTTTTATATTCCGACATTGATTTTACATAACACTAGAGGTTTTTCTTTTCTACGGTGTTTGTTATGAATAAATTTTACGAAGACGAGGTGAGTATGGAAAGTTATTTAAAAGGTTAGACCAGTTTTTGAATTTCCTTCTTCCTACCACATCATTTTATAGTTTGGGAGTTTCAAAAGTTCGTAGTGAGTGTGGGGTCGTGATTGCTACATGTGGCAACACCAAAACACTTTCTTTAAAGTTTAAGGTCCTTAAATTTGCTTGATATTGATTCTACCTTTTGTGAAAGATATAAAATTTTATTTTGATCAATTTAGATGAATAATAATTAAAAATAAAAATTGTCATAACTGATGTAGAAGAAATTTCATATTTTGCTGGTGAAGATATCGTTTACTTGTGGATATATGTATGTATTTATAACTTACTGTAATGTTAAAAAAGTATAATAATTTTGTTCAAGAATTAAAACTGTGGAACGTAATTACATATTACTACAGATGCGGAAACCCGCAAAAGATCAAAGGATTTTGAAATGAGAATTCTATGACCTTGAAACTTACGTAGACAGTTGGCGGCATAATATGGAAAACTTTTTTTATTATTAATTTTAGGAAAAAAGTTCTTCATAAAAAGTTCTTCATGACTTAAAACCTAAAATTCAATAAACTGATACCAAATGGGAATCAAATATTCATTCCTGGCGGCACTGAAGTTCAAATTTAGAAAAATAGATCTAACTGCATGACAACCTAAGGACAACTTCTTGCACAGATTTTTATCGAATTTAAGTCTATGATCAATACAGAGAGAGCACTAAAAACTTAACTACTATTAATTCTGAAATCGTCTATCAAAATATTTCATAGTTCACATTTAAAAGCAGTTTTTTTCAATATTAAATAATTAATGGTTGGCTTTACACCAACTCCTGATCTTTACGATGTCTGTGTTAATCTTAGTTTCCAAAACTGCACTCTTCTTATTGGACCATAGAATGGTAGTATTATCTTCAAAAGTAGCGAAAAGTCCATTAATTTCAATAAAGTAAAAATAAAATGGGACCTAGCACTGATCCTTGCGGAACACCGGATTGTATCTTAGTTTGACTGACGCGATGACTGTTATAAGAGGCAGCTTGAAATCTATCAGTTAAATAGGATTGAAGACAATTTAAAACATATCCCGAAAACCATATTTTTTTAATTTCCTTAAAATGTTATGATTTACGCAATCAAACGCTTTTGACAAATGACAACAGGCAGCTGCAGTCACATTGCCCACATTTATCTCAAAATAAAGCTTCTCAAGAAAAGCGAACTTTTACCGGGCTGAAATCCAAATTGAAGATTAGACATTAGAATATATTTAGTAAGAAAATTCGGCATTATTTTCTTTACTAGTTTTTCGACTAGTTTTGATATTATTTTGTTGGTAACAAAGTATAGGACGGAAATTTGAAGGAGATTTATGAGTTCCTTTATACAAGGTTATCACTGTAGCAGTCTTCTGACAATCACTAAAAATACCAGAACTGAATGAGGCATTAATAACGTCTGCCAGTACCGAGATGAGATTTTCTGGAATACCATCCCATCCCGCAGCATTACTATTTTTTATTGAACTAATGGTCTCTTTAATTTCCAAAACATCAGTCTGGAGAAAATATAAAGATTCGGAAACATTTAGATTATCTACAAATGCTAATGGATCAACTCTACATAGAAAAAGCAAATCTTATAAATATAGGGTGACAACAGAAATATCTGCAAAAGCTTGGAGAAGCATAGAAGCAGTCAAAAGTGAGATCATAAACAATAGGTTAGAGAAGATCAGATAATTCGTGAACAATGTGACTGTAACAATGCTCCTGACTCTGAAGGTCTAAAAAATATTTACATCATCTCCATGGATTCAAGCTTGCTTTTTATTAAAAAAAATCTTACGATCAGTCATAAATGAAACTAATCTGCACATGTTGGGATGAATATCTTATCTCCACAGACTTATGCTCATTATATCAATTGTACCTAATGTATAAGTAAAACAACCTTGTTTACCTGTCTTCTGTTTTATAGTAGTTTATAAAATCTCCAACAGATGCTTCTCTTATAATGGCTAAATTTGTCGAATACTGGTTAATAGAGTCAATTATTCCAAGTACATTTCTGGGAAGTTTTCCCCCAAATTTTAAATAAAGTTAACATTGCCTACTGACTTCCTTGCAAGATAATTAGCAATAAGCAAAATTGTTTGAATTACCTCTCCTTATAAATAATTGAATCCGGAAATAATAGATAGCAATCGCATGTCAGGAATATGTGAAGAATGCTGACAGAATTGCCACATCCAACGCATACCTATTCCCACCTCTGAAAAATATCCTTCTGTACCATAACTTCTGAAAATCTAAATCGAACTTTGGCGCAATAATAGTTGGTACTCGTTGTCACTTCCATTGTTCTCGGATTGAACTGTAGTAACTGTAGTTGTAATCATTTATCGTGATATAATATGTTCCTTCCTATTATCTTTACTTCGATCATCTCTACAACTCTGCATAATAATTGTTACAGAGAACTCTCTTAAACAACCTAGAATATTCAAAGCGGCTTGAAGATGTCAAACGAAAATTGGCCGAACAAATACAACAGGAGTTCTCTTTCGGCGAAAGGACAAGCCAGCCTGCAATCATCAAGAAGGACAAATTTCTCTCTCATCCAAGACTATGCTCTGGATCGGATACGACCATATCGATTTCGCCAAGAAACAGCAGTGGAACCAGATCTAATACGGTTCGTCCAGAAAATAATGAACACAATATAGTTTTAGATTATACGTTCTTATGTACTATTTTTTAGATGAACTCAGGCATCTCCCGAAAAAAGACTTACAAAAAGTGGACCAATCCTACCCGACCTGTTAGCGTATCTCATCAGATGGACGTTGACATTGGAGATACTTACGAGAATAGGTCGTTAAACTCCTTCAGAGTCGACGAGATCAAAGAAGAACTCAAAATTTTCTACCACAAATTTCAACAGAAAACGCCCTCTTCTGCCAATCCGCAATCGCGTGGTCAAGATTCTCAAAAAAATCACGTCGTTCCAAGGGAGATAAGCGAAGCTGTTTTTGAAAAAAAGTTCAAGGGGTTTGTTGAGAAAAGCGTGCAGTCCATTTCTGATATTAGGTGAGTTAACCAAAGCAAATATTAGTAGTTTGGGTGATTATCTGCTGTGATAAGTAATATATAAAAGGCGATGCATATTGACATACGCGTTCATTTGTACTTGTTCACTAACAGTCCTAACAACTTTGCAATTTGTAAGAGGAAAAATTTTAATTGATAAACGTATAAGACGAGAATAACAACCACAGAGAAGCGACAAAGCCATTACAGCAAAAAATGGAGTGGGGGTATCCCAACCAACTGTCATTTCAATTTCAACACGCTTGCCTCATAGATAACTTTCCAGCTTACCTGTTTAACTAGTTTAGTCGTGATTCTTGATATTAATTCAGATTCAGTCTAGGATTCTTACCGTGAACAAATCTAAGAATTTTTGGGGATTTCTGAAAAACGGGTACGTTTTGACCTTTGCATTGTGATGGAGTCATTCTCTTGATCGTACCTTGCCACTTTGTTATCCAAGAAGGTAGGGTCCGATTACAATTAGAAGAACACCGCTACTTCGAATTTCGAATACATATTATCTAGAACTATCTATAAATAAAAAATAAGTATAAAACAACACTATTTACTATATTCCTATAATATTAAGAGCGATATCCATGCAACACCTAACAGCAAATTCAGATTTAGAACACACTGGGGTCTATTCTGTAACAATTCCTTTATATTTAACGGCCTTTAAAAATATTGGCGGCCTTTAAAAGTATATTTGTATTCGTTAATTTACTTCTATCATTATTTAAACAGATTTCTTTAAGATAGTCCTCTAATGTATTTTAAAGATCCGTTTAAATAGTGACCGAATTAAGGGAGAAAATATTTTTAAAGGCCGTTAAATATAAAGGAATTTTTACAGAATAGACCCCACTGACAACTTTCAGTGCATCTGAACCCACTTTGGCAACGTTGCTCTATTCCCAGGCTTACGCTTCCTTCAATTTATTACTTATAAACTATAGATGATTTAAAATATTAAAAATGCCGATAAATCGCAGGTCCGGTCTAACAAAGAGTATTTCTGTTTTGTTTTCTCGTTTAAAATATCTTTTAAAGGTATAACCTGGTGTAACATTTTCGAAAAAAATTTTTTATAACTAATTTATTTATTTACGAAATATATTTTTAAATATACATATGTACCTATTGCTACATTTTCTGATATACAGGGTGTTTGTTGGTAAGTGTGAATGATTTTAGGGAATGTTTGCCGAAGTTATTTTATAAAAAAAACATAGATCGAAAAAGTCAGTGGCGCAGTACTTTTTTATTAAAAAAGTGGCATTCTCGCACAAACGCCACTGGTACAAGTAGAAATATTTGGAACACCCCAAAAAATACACATTTGCCCCTTCAAAGTTTTTTTTGCAAATTTAGAGTAAATATCTTTAAAACTATTAAAAATAATTAATAAAATTTAATAAATTAAAATTTAAACATTCTGTATCTCGAAAACGAAGCATATTTCGACCTACTTTTATAGGAACTTTTTTTAACAAAATAACTTTGATAACAATTTGCAAAAATCGTTCGTACTTATTTACAAATACCCTGCATAAAAATACTTTTTTTAAATAATAACCCATTTGATACTAGTTTGTGCAACAACAGTGGACAATCCACTGGAGTTGTACAGTATGTTTTTTTCTACGACCCACTAACGAAAATCTACAAATTTAAAGTATTATTTTAGGAAAAGACAAAATAATTAATTTTAAAATAATTTATGACTTTACTAATTTGTGATATAAAATAAACATGAAAAAATATTTCATTTAATTAGTCCCCAGCCCAGATTTGAACTCGGACCTCTCGCGTGAAAGACAGATGCCGTATCATCATTTTCACCACCACATTTAAAATTTTAGTTCTAAAAGTAGTAATTAAATTAGTTTCATATAGGTAGTTTAATTCAAATTTAGGATTTTTTAAATTGTGGTCTAAATTAAAATTATTTATAAATCCTACGCAAAAATAACTCATTTTAATGTATATTTAATCTCAATTCCTAAAAAATATACTGACAATTAGTTTGACAGAATTGTCACTTATTTAAAATTTTAAAAATAATAGTTGTTGGGTGTCCAATATATAAACTGTGATTGGTGGATTTCATTTTTTTGCAGTGTTCTCACTACCCAGAATGGATATGAAATATATTCGTTGAGTTGAACGCAATAGTATATTTTTTCGTTTTGTAGTCTGTGCGTGAATAGTAGTTTGTGCAACAAAATTGGATATGATGGTCATATCGCACGAAGACGAAGTTTCAGAACGACGCCGTAGACGGAGTGCTTAATCGTCTGAGTGCGATACAGACAATCCACTCGAGTTGTACAGTATATTTTTTCTACGACACCCTAACGAAATTCTACAAATTTAAAAAAGTAATTTATTAAGACAAAATAAATAATTTTAAAATAATGTATGACTTTTAATAATTTATAAAATAAACATACAAAAAGATTTAATTTAATTAGTCCCCAGCCATGATTGGAACTCGGGTCTCTCGCTTGGAGACAAACTCCGTGCCGTCGCCACACTTGCCATTATAGTTCTAATACTTGTAATTAAATTAGTTTTATATGGTTTGATTAAAATTTAAGATTTGTTTATAAATTTGGACGAAACAAAAATAGAAATTATCGATTATACATAAGAAATATTCATTTTTACGTATATTTAATCTCAATAATTCAAAAATATACTGACAGTTAGTTTGACTACATAAAATTTAAAAAAATAATAGTAGCCGGGTGACCAATATATAATCTGATTGGTGGATTTAACTGTTTTGCAGTGTTCTTACTAGGTAGAATGAATATGAAATATATTCGTTCAGTTGAACGCAATGGAATACTTTTTTGTTTTGTAATATGTGCGTAGATTGGCTAATATTCATGTGGGTATAGAAGAAAGCATATCCATGTGGATGTAGAAAATAGTAGTTTGTGTAACATGAGTGAATATAAATTAAATTGATTTCATATAGTTTAATTAAAATTTATAATTATTTATTTCTAAATATAGATCAAATAAAACTAGAAATGCTATTATTTATCGATTATACACAAGTATAACTCATTTTACGCAATAGCATATTTTTTCGTTTTGTAGTCTGTACGTAGATACGCTATCCATTTGGGTGTAGAAAAAATTGTTTTCTAGTACTAAAAATATTTAAAAATAACATTGAGTAAAATGATTTATTATTAGTAAAAGAAGGAATAAAAATAATCATTTTTATTGACTATTGGTCGGATTTCTACTCGGATTTCTACTCAAATTTCTAATATCTAAACCTCTAGTGAAACGTGGATCTAAGATCTCGGGTAGTATACAATCTAAATAAAATTGCTTTAGTTTGTTTTCCATATACACCAAAATCTATCATCTTTTTTATTTTTTCTACTAACATACTTAAAGGTATTAAAATAAATAAAAAAAAAAAAATTCGTTTAGTTACGTTGCCCCTGAACAATTATTGCATTTTCGCATTATCATTAATAATTGCAAATTTTATTATGTTGTCAACCATTGCTTTTTTCGGAGTCAGTTTTGAAGCAGTGGCAGGATATTTAATTTCGATAATACTGTCTGTTCCTAATAAACCGTCGGAACCTAAAAACCATATTCAGAATCCACAAATAAACCACATTTATTGGATATCCGCTTTAAATTTGTAAATATTGCTTTAAAGTTAAAGGTTTTTTTTTATTCAATACTTAGTATATTAATTTCCCATATATTTTAACTTTAATGCTTAGAAGGGGTGCTAATGTTTGTCTTTTTCTAAGTAATCTAGCACGATATTTTATAGATTTCCGTCGAAACGGAAATATAATTTTCGGCATTTCCGAAAGTTTTCCCATTTTTATCACAAATTATTATAACTCAGCTTACACATAAAAGTTCATATAAACACATTGACTAAATACGAAACAAAAACACCTACACTTGAACTAAAAAGAATAAAGTTTTTTATTATTTTATTTTTATCCCAATTTTCCGGTACTGCATGCACCGCCAACGTCCGCCGCCTTGTTGCCAAATCAATTAATATGGATTGGAATCTTGACAGATTTTCTCAGATTTCCTAATTCAAGGTTTTCAAAAAATATACGCTTTGGACAAAAAAGTGTATTGGAAAGAATTAGCTGATTTTTATATAACAATTCCCGGTAAAGACTCCTTTTTGCAATAATTTTCATAATTTGTATAGAAATAATTAAAAAATTAGTTTTTCTGAATTCGGGCTCTACAGCGGAGTTCTCTATCATTTGCTTAGTAGGTATACCAAATTTTATAAAAAAATATTTAAAACTGAGAAAGAGAACCTTGAAGTCGTTTTAAGCCTGTTTCTAACCATGGATATCGCTCTTAATACTTTACTAAATTCCCAGTACGTACCGATAACCAATTAATTACTTTACAAAATGATGACGTAGCTATATTCTTCTAATTGTAATCGGTAGGCTTGCCAGACGTCACGCTTTAGGCGTATTTTCCACGCTTTTTGACTTGCGTGTACGCTCAACGCCATAGTATGAAAATGTCCCGCTTTTGTCAAAAATGCCACTCTTTTGATTCAAATGCCACGCTTTTTCAATATTCGAAACCGTATTATAGAAAAATGTAAGGTGAAGACCTTTTTTTTTATTAAATATCGGTTAACGGTTTCTGATTTACGAAAAATCCAAAGTGAGGACCTATTGTTTTTCTTGCTTTTTTTTCTTGCTTTTTTCTTGTTTTTTTTTTTTTCTTTTTTTTTTTTTTTCTTGTTTTTTTTTTTCTTGTTTTTTTTTCTTGTTTTTTCTGTTTTTCTTTTTTGTTTTTGTTTTTTTTTGTTCTTGCTTTTTTCTTTTTTTTCTTGTTTTTTTTGTTTTTTTTGTTGTTTTTTTTTTCTTGTTTTTTGTTTTTTTTGTATTTTTTGTTTTTTTGTTGTTTTTTGTCTTTTTAGTATTTTTTGTTTTTTTTGTTTTTTTTGTCTTTTTTGTTTTTTTCTTGTTTTTATTTTAGAAATTTCAGAAATAATGGACCTGATTATTTAAAAATGCTTGGTATTTGAACTTGGCATGGTTGTCACGCTTTTCATTTTCGTAAATCTGGCAACCCTGGTAATCGAACTCTACTACGACTACGAACCATGTTTTTCGCAACAGCACTACGAGTCGTGTACTTTTTAATTTCATATTCTTCCAAATTGGGATGTAATTAGCCTGTAAGTTATGAAACGTTATTTTGCATCCATTATCATAGTTTTTCATTTTTGTTTTAATTACTAAAAAGGTAAATTCAATACGATGCAAACCTTATTTAATTTTAATTTGACACCATTTTATAGAACAAAATTATAAGATCAAGTTGATGAAAACTATAAATTGATTATTTTTAATAAAAATTTTGTGATTTTTATCCTACCTTTAATGGAAGATACCATATTTGCGCTATTTATAACTTGTTTATTTTAATGTACATATAATGTCCAATAGTGATATAATTTGTTTAGGGATCTCATAGATAAAGGAATAGAACCACCAGATGGAGATGAAGATATATCAAGGAGAATGTTGCGTGTAAAAGAATTTGCCAATAGATTTTCAAGAAATTATTTATATCCACTTGTCAGACAGGTAGATTATATTTTTATAAATTCTTAAAATAAGACATAATTCGTCCGTTTTTTAAAATAATATATTTTAATTTTGACGAGTATATGTATAAAGTGTATAAAATCGCAACGTATTAAAATTATCTCCTTTTAGTAACTAGTTATGTCCATCCAAACAATAAGTCAACTGTAAAGGAATACCGCAAACGCAAAAACAGTTGGCACCTGTTTGAAAAAATTGGTATAGGGAACGGGTTGCTTGTCGGAAGTCAGCTAAACTAACTCTTTGATAGACCGCCCATATACGGAGATATATGTTTTTACTTAATAATTTAATTATATGTACGTATTATAGGTATATGTTTCTTTCGATTTGAAGATTTAAAATAGTAATTTTTTATATACATATATACCTAATTAGATTAAAATAAGTAGGATTTATAACTGATGTTTTCCTTCAACGATTTCAGTGTTTTAGATAAAATTTTGCATTTTTTCTCCAAGAAGCGTGAATAGCTTTGTCGGTATACTGCCTCTGTAAGTATATTGTTTTTGGCGGTGTATCGCCTTTGACGGCTATTGCTTTTGTCGGCTATTGCCTTCGTCGGCATCATATTGTCTTTGTCGGCATATTGTCTTTGTCCATTTAAAGAGCCGAATTTTTAACCAATGCCGAAAAGGAAAATGAAACGTATTTGAATAAAAATAATTATTTATACTTTCAGTGAAGTTTTGTTCATCTTAGTGACCTGTTGAGTTTTGTACGGATAACAGCTCCTGCATCGTACTTTTTAAAATTTTATAGAATATTAGTTTCTGTTTTATTAGTGTTTAGTTTCGTTTTATCAATAATCAGTTTGTGTTTTGGAGGTTATATAGTAATTTTAATAAACGAATAATAATTTATAATTTTGTGTATGTGTTATTAACTATGTGGAGACCGTGGGATAGTATTCCGAGCACCAGTACATCAAACAGTGATGGAGAAACTAATGCAGTGCCTACGCAAATAAAAAATAAACTCTTTTTAAATGAACAGTCCCAGCAAATTTGTTTAAATGTTTATAAAAATTTGTTAAAACGTGGATATATATGAAAACACTTCTACCGTTCAAGAAGCAGCGTTTCTTACTGGTATATCGGTTTATAAAATGAACTAAATTATAAAAAATGGAATTTCCAGCAGAAAACTCCGTGAAGACAAAGGTGTGCAAAAAAAATTAGATCCATCCATGGCCAAATCCATTGTGAATACAGTGTATGAACTTTATAAACAAAATACCATTCCCACGCTTAAGTGAAACTTATTTCGATACAAATATAAAAAAGTCTACATTGTATAATTGGCTAAAAAAAATCAGTTTTAAATACAAAACGATAGATAAAAGAAGCGCAGTGATGGAAACAAGACGAATAGTAAACTGGAGAAATTCTTATTTACAGAAAATTCGTGAATATAAAAATGAAAGCAGGCCAATTTATTTTCTGGATGAAACGTGGTATGATTCGCATGATACTGCAAAAAAGGGCTGGACAAACGATAAAAAATATTGCCAAGCCTTAGGTATCCCTCTAAATAAAGGCACTCGACTGATAATATTAAACTGTGGCTCAGAGGACGGTTGGGTTGACAATGCCTTACTATTAATTGGAAAAAAAATTGATAGCTGCCAGATTGATTACCATTCAAATATGAATTCCGATATTTTTGAAGAATGGTTTACGAATTCACTGTTGCCTAATTTAAAGCCAAAAAGTGTAATAGTTATGGACAATGCTTCATATCACTCCAGGCTTAAGGAAAAAATACCTAATAAAAACTCTAAGAAAGATGAAATTCAAGAATTTTTAATGAATCACGATTTGTATTTTGATGAAAAATATAAAAAAGATGAACTTTTGGAAGTCCTAAAAACTAAAAATTTTGAAAAAAGTATATAGTTGATGAAATTGCAGCTGAGAGAGGTCATACAGTTTTAAGGTTACCACCATATTTTTGTATTTTCAATCCTATAGAGTTACTCTGGAGCCAATTGAAACAAAATATTCGGAGAAAAACTATATTTCAAAAATTTGATTCTCAGGTCGTCAACTTGATCAAAGAATACCTAGATGCGATCGGAAAATCTCAGTGGGAAGCAGTTATAAAACATGTGTATGAAATAGAAGAGGAATACAGGAACAACAGCGGCATACACGTAAATAATGGAGAACGATTTATCATAAATCACAATGAGGATGACGACGACGACGATGATATAATTAGTGATAACGAGGAGAAGGAAGACGAGGAGCAAGAATTTGGAAACAATGAGAAAATCTGAGTTAAATCAGCAATATGTAAGTCACATTTTAATTTTGTAAGTCGGTCTATGTTTAGGTTATTTCTACATTTACTTTGTAATTAAATAAGTGTATTACTATCGTCCAGGGGCATAATAATGACATACTCCTGGTAGAGACTCCTTTTTAGATGTATTCATACATAATATTTAGTGAATTTTTTTTTGAAGCCTCTTCAAACGGAAGCCGAACTTTTTTTTCCATTATCGGTATTTCTTTGTAGTTGACTTATTGTTTGTATGGACTTATACCTGGTTTTGAAAATTTTATTATGCATATTAAGTAAGAAAAATTATTAGTTATTTTTTTACCAAACATAATTTTATGAACAGATAGTCAAAATTAGAAAAAAAATATCCTCACCAGAGTCTTGTATATTTTTATGATCGACTCTTATTCTATAATTTCTCTAATTTTCTTATTTTTCTTTTCCTCTCTTATATAATATTTTACGTTGTTTGTAGATTGACGAATTGAGCAAGTGGAGATCTTTACATCAAGGCTCTCATCAAAAGTTACTTTCTGCTTACCAAGTGATCTACAATGGTCTACAGGCTTACCAGAATCATCTTCCAACTTCAATTGGTGCTTGTTCGTCTGATAAACTGAAAGTCCTTATGAAACATTTACTGGATATTTGTGATATACACTACAAGTTGCTGCCAGAAGACGACGATAGAAGTTACAAGGATTTTTTAATAGTAAGTTAATTAATACTATACTATTAGAGACACGAAACTATCGATAACGCTATCGATAATTATCGATAATTTGAACTATCGGATACTTATCGATGACATTTTTTTACTATGGAAAATAATGGATAGTTTCGTGTGACAGTAGCACGGTGTGGCTAAAAGCCGCTGTAAATACTGAATTTTATATTTTTCTTTTTTCATAAATTGTAGTTATTTAGGTATGATGATAAATTCACTAAAATAAAGACACAAAAAATACTTTAAGTTTTTTATTTTTTTTAACAAAAATTCTTGGTTGTTGTCATAATTGTATTTTTTCAATTTGTAAACAAATAGTTTTAAATTAATTAGAATTGAAATATTGCTTTCTTCTTCATGTAATAAAAATATATTTTAAATTGAATTTATTGAACATCTAGCCAGACCTAGCCGGCATTACATCACAATTCCAATATGCATACACTTTACACTCTGCTGTTTTACTATCGAATACTATCGATAATTATTATCGATGGTTTCACATTCACTTATCGATAACTATTGATATGTATTTAAAAACTGAGTAAGAAAGCTTCTACAGTGATTGTACACTTGTTGTATTTACATTATAGCCATATTCGTTGGCTTTTTCCTTTATTTAGAATTTTATTTTCAAATGATTAACATTGTTTCCGCATTAGCATAACAACTATTATTATAACAATATTAAAGTCGTCGTAAATTAGAAATAAAATAGCCAAATAGAAATAATTCATAACATTTTTAAAATTTAGGTGCAAACTCCAAATAGATGTACAAATACAAATCTAAAGAGTTCCCACCTGTTCGTATAGAGCTTCATCATCTTTTGCTTCAAAAACCAACCTTAAACATGATATGGCGCCGGTTTTCTAATTTTTTTCAAAAACCATCGCTGTTGTGAGGAAAATTTTATGTTCTTAATAAAATTCTACATCTTACTAATATACAGGGTGATTCATAACTATTGGGACATAATCTAAGGTCAGATTATTTGGAGGAAAATATGGCGATAGGGCCAAATATACCTTAATAAAATATTGTTGTGGAATAAGATACAGGGTGATAAATAATAATAATAGTAATAATAATAGACTATAATCAAACAGCAAAAATAATTCACTGTCAAGAAATTACATGTACCAAACACAATTTTCTGACACTCCAAAGCACACTTTTCATATGTGAAATATTTTTTAACTCCCTATTTGAGACTTGTGAGCTGCTCAATTGCGTTTTTCTCGAAAACGGGTAAAATTATCGTGTTTAAACAAGAGTACCAATATTACGTAGAAATGACGTTTACATCATATTTTCCAATCAAAAATACTAAAAAGTTTTGTCAAAAAAAGCTACCACTTGATTTCATCATTAGTAATCACTCAAGTGGTGCCCCCCGTAACAAAATGAGAAATTATACATAAAATATTTTCCCCTGTCCAAAGATATGCCTCTGTGCCGATTTTGATAACAATTCATTAATATACAGTGACATTATAAAAAAAAACGAAAAAAAAAATTCACAGCAATATTTTATTGAGGTATAATTGGCCCTGTCATCATATTTTTGTACAAATAACCTGTCCTTAGCTTATGTCCCAATAGTTATGAATCACCCTGTATAAATGCGAAAGTTTGGATGGATGGATGTTTGTTGCTCAATCACGCAAGAACGGCTAAACGGATCTGGATGAAATTTGGCACAAAGATAGATTATAGTCTGGAATAGAACATAAACTATCCCGGAAAAATTACGGTTCCGTGAGATAGATTTGTTTTTGTTTTTTACAGACATGATTTTTTGCATAGTAGTAGTGAAACATGAAAATTTTAAATACAGCTACTGGGCATAAATAATAAATAATGACGTATTTCAGGGTTTTTGGATTTTCACATCTTATAAGGGAGGGGGGGTAATTTTGGATTTTCATATATTAAGGGGGAAAGGGGAGAAGGGAAGAAATGAGAGAAAGGGGGGATAGGGGGGAAAGTTTGTATGTAGATATCGCTTTTTTTAGAGGTAGAAAATTGAAAATTGGAATTCTAACTACTTATTATGGGGGGTGGGTGGCTCAGTGGTAGAGTCTCTGCCTGTGGATCCAAGGGTCCCAGGTTCGAATCCCACCGTTGGCAGGGATTTTTTTATTTAATTTAATTTTTTTAAATTAATTCTGATGCCTTGGTAGGATTCCCCACTCGACCATTCACTGTTGGGTTCTAATTAACAGTGCTGTTCCTGAAGTGGCGCTGGGAAACAGTAACAAAGCCTACACAGAACACACATGATTGAGAATTTAAAAAAAAAAAACACAAACTTGAGATTGGCATATTAGGTATATACACCTAGGCCATAAATCGAAAAAAAAACTACTTATTATAAATAAATAGACATTAAGGAGGGAAACGGGAGGGGATAGTTTGTATCTTAAATGCAATGTTGTCAAGTGTTCTCCTGTCATTTGTAAGGTAATCCGTTAAAATAAATAATTTTTAACAGGCTTCTAAAATTTGTGTATACAGAATACCATTAAAGTTACATTTTTAAAGGCCTCTAAATTTTAACGGATGTTTTACAGAATAGATCCCAATCTGTAGTACTATATAGTGTCTTCTATTTTCTTTAGAATATTCACTGTTATGCAAAATATATTCAATACATTTTGGGCACAAAAAAGAATAATTATTTTTTCTTTAAGACCTTCAGACTGAATGCAGAAATGACCTTGAAAAAAATCGAAGACCATTTCGTTAATAATTATGCCGGAATATCGCCCCCAATAAAAGTAGGTAATGAATCCAAGTTACCCAAACAGAAAAAACCAAAGAACAATATTCAAGAAAGGCTTTACATGTACAACTCGACATCTGCATTTAGAAAAGAACCATTATGGAGACTGGCTGCTGAAGCATTTGCCAGGGACAAAAAGTAAGTGTATGGTATGTTAAGTTGATGCAAAGCCTATTAAAACTAGGTCACAGTTTATAGCTAAAGAATCAGTTAGCTCACTCTGTCCAATTGGATGTTGAAAAATAACATGCACTCCAGGGATACAAATTCAAGATGCGCAAAAGACTGCTGTTTGAATATATAGGAATATATAGGCGGTTGTCATATATTTTGGTAATGACAAAGAGTACAGAATATAACTACAAAAAAGAAGTCACTCGCGGCATTTACAAAGGAAATCGCACTTCAAATGCGAGCCGACAAGTCGGCGTTTTTTCAAAGAGTGCAGAGCTAATTGGGCTATACCGGGGTTAAGCGGTAAGACGCGGCGGCGACGATAGTGGAATGTAACGGCTAATACACAGTGGAATCTAACGTAGTGGAGCAAACGAGCCTGACGCATTGAACTATACCGGTATACGGCCGATCGAGAAAGGACTGTGTACGACTGGCGGCTGATCGCGTTAGAAGGCGGTAATTGGGCGAGTGACTCCTCTTATATTTTGTACTCTTTGGTAATGATTTGATTCTGTATGCGCCAGGGATTCAAATCCGAGTTGCGCAATATATAATGAGATCAAACGTGCCAAGGCAGAGTGAGCGAACTGATTCTTTAGCTATAAACTGTGACTAGGTTATAAATTATGTAGTCATTGTAGAAATCCCAGTGGAAAATAATAAATGTTGAGTATGAAAAGGTATATATATATTTACTGACTTTTACAAAATTATCTGACACGTTGAGTACTTGATTTTCGTTCTTTTTTATTTCATTAGTAATTAAGTACTGACTACCTTAATCGGTACTAATTAACATTTTGTTCAATACTTTAACACCCCTCTTTAATTCTGTAAAGTAATAAATAACTTATATTTTAACTTTAAACAATTATTCACATATTAAATTTAACCTGACAGAGAAAATATTTAAATTTTGTGGCTGGAAGAGACTTTGTAAAAATGTCAGCAATTTTTTCTGCTATAGGTACGTAATTAAAATTATTTCGAAGAATGACCCATACGCCTATGCCACAAACTACTTGTTATTCCGGTTTCATTGACTTCTATTGGAGATTCAAGTACAAAATTTAGAACATACAGATTTCCAGATACATAATCTTGTGTAAGACAAATTGATTTTTCATAAATTTTAACTTTTCCATTTCTAAATATGACTTGGAAGTCCACGATTTTCCAAATTTTTAACTGACATAAGATTGTGCGATAAATTGTCACATTCCAATATATTTGACATTAATATAATTTTTCCGTCAGCACCTTTTAAGGTCTATTTATAAACTTGCAGTTTCCGTCGCCGTTACCGTTCGCGTTCCTGTTTCTGTTTGACGTTACAGTTGCCGTTGATATTCATAATTTATAAAGCTGACGTTTGGCGCCGTTATGTGATGGGTAGATAATTTAATCGATTAAGCCAAAATAAATCAAAGTAAGATGAAAAGAGGAAAAATCTGATGTTCAATCATATTGTTGCGCGATATTCGTTTTGAGTTTTCATTAAGTGCCGTTTTTAATTGAGAAAAATGAATGAAGTTATCTATGTAGTTAATCTTGGAATACTTCTGTGTTTTTCGAAAGTCCAGACTTTTTATTGGTTAATATGCGAACGGCATGAACAGTGAACTGCAGAACTTAAAACTTTGTTATGTTTGAACGTCAAGAAACGTCGTGTATAACAGCAAACGGTGACAGCAACATAGAATATAAATGCGGAAATGTGAAAGTAGCATTTTAACTTCCAACGGGAACTGCAACTGCGAGCGGTAACTGCAACTGCAAGTTTATAAATTGGCCTTTAGTCTTAAGTCTCCTTCTCTTCTGGCATACACAGCTTCACCCAATTTTGCAACGTTTATTCTATGATAGACTTCTTTGACATTTATTTAAAAATTACAAATTTCGAGCTGATTAGGTGATTGGTGGCACCACTATCTACAACGAAAGTTATTTTGCTTGACTCACTTTCGCAATTATTCACATTTAGAGATGTTAGGAAAACAACATCAGTTTCATCTTCACTTTGCTCACATACATTGCATTTAGGACAACAATGTTTGTCAGACACATTTTTAGGACACTGTGAACGTTTGTGACCTTTTTCACCGCAACGATAACATTTAAATTTAAATTTGGTGTAGTCTTTATTGAAACCTTGATTTTTCTTCATAAAAGAATTCTTACGGGTTGCAAATGCCTGTGTTGGGTTACTTTCTTCTGATAATGCATTTCGTTTCTGCCTTGACTCCTCCATTAACAGCTTATTTTTCACAAAATCAATAGTCACTTTCAATTCCTCTTGGGAAAAAATAATATCGATCGCTATTGTAACAGACTGGTAGGACGCTGGCATTGAAGACAACAGTTGACTGATGACTTCGGCTTCTTTTACGGATCCACCACTATTTCTCAGATCCGAAATAGTTTGAACGAATTCAGTAAGATACGAAGTCAAAGATTGATGTTCAGAAAATTTCATATTCCGTAATTTATAGTTTAAATGTACTTGATTAGCAATTCCAGATTTCGTGTAGGTATTTTTCAACGTATCCATTATTTCCTTAGCAGTTCCTTTATCTTTTACGGTTTCCAAAGTATTATCTGTTAAACACTGGACAAGGATAGTTCTAGCTTTTATATCGCGTTTAATAAATTTTTCTAATTCAGCTGCCACAGTTGGAGGTCCAACCAGAAGAACGTCTAATACCTCGCTTTGTTCTAACACTAGCTCGATACGATATTCCCATGTTGAACATCCTATTCCATCAAACGGCTTAACAACATTAACGAACTAGTTTAACGTCATCTCTATTCCAGACTCCAAAATTCAAGACAATTTTTTTAAATATTTCAAACCTTTTCGATACTATCACTTATTCTGGGCGCATAACCTGTAGAAATCCCAGTGGAAAATAATAAATGTTGAGTATGAAAAGGTATATATTTACGGACTCTTATAAAATTATCTGACACGTTGAGTACTTGATTTTCGTTATTTTTTATTTCATTAGTAACTAAGTACTGACTACCTTAATCGGTACTAATTAATATTTTGTTCAATGCGGGAGGATATCGCGCATGGTGTCATGGCGGCGCTGACGTCATGCGCAGAGTTAGTAGAACTGGCGCGAAATAAATATCATATGACAGACACATTTTGCAGTAGTTTGTGAGTCGTTTATAGTGATTTATAAAATACTAAGCAGATATTTGTATTATATTGTGTTGTGAACTTTGTTCTCTATGAGTAGCTTTAATAAAAAACATCGAAAAATTGCGGTACGGATGTAACAATAACAATTAAAGGAAAGGATTCAAGAAAGATATGGTTTTTCGGTTTCCTTGACAGTAAGAGCTTAGTCAGAAGTAAGAAGTGGCCCAAGGGCGGCTCCAGCGGAGGCCCAGGGGAGCATGCCGTTCCCTAGATTAAAATTCTTAAAATCATGAGCCCTTTTTTATATAAAAAAATATGCTAAATAGGCAATTCTACCATCCTTCCCAAGAAAATTCAGCATGGAGCAGCCCTTGCAGTGGCTTGTGAACCTGCAGATAAATTTTCGTATGTATTCCAAGCACTTTCAACCTTCCAATTATAAGAGATATCTTAAATCAGAACTTCACATAATGTGAAGCTGTGAATGAACCAGTGTGAGTCACATTGGTTAATTGGCAACTTGGGACTTCTAAACTGGAGACTCTACCCTTTGAAGGCTAAAAATTTCGCAATATAAGCAAAAGTAAAATTGTAAAGGTCACCAAAGGAAAAGGAAAATTTCGACTTGTACTTGATGAATGATTTAAAAAACTGTAATTTTGTAGTTATTCGTATTTGGTACATTTTTATGTTTTGCATTGTATTATATGAATGTCTGCATTATATTATATGAAAAAAAAATATTTTTTTAACTTATTTTTATTCAATTGGGTAAAATAATGCAGGTAAATAAGTTGCAAATCCTAATCAGGTATAAATTTCTGGCATATCCAGATGTGAAATTGTTACCCAGGATCCCCAGTTTCGAGTTGCGAAGATACCCTTTATTTTATTATCCTGGTTATAAAAACTATTCTTTAGAAATCGAATTTGTATAAACAAAATAAATCATTAAAAAAAAAGGAAAAAACTGTTCAAAAAAATATTTCTTTTATGTATGTATTTGCATTTATATTCCTTCATAGTTCTTTCCTTAACTATCCTATAATAATATCCATAGATATTTCATGTAATTTCTAAAATATTATCCTTAATACTCATCAAATTTCTATGTTAGCATATATTTTCCTCACACTTCGTTAGTATTTTTAAATTCACGCCTATACAAACTCTACGCGTGACATCATGCGCGTGGCCTTCCTATTTTTGACACTGTTGATATCCTACCTTTTATTTTTTATACCATGTTGTTCAATACTTTAACAGTCATATGAGGGCTATTTTCTTTTCGCTGAGCCTATCTAGTAGGCGATGATATCCTACTTATAGGAGACAAATGACAGGCGCGCGAAAATTAATTTGAATCGCGAATAGAACAATCTTAAAAATAAAACTTTTAACATTGCAGTATTGCCTCTCTTTTTGTATTTTTGACAACTTTTGTACTTTATCATTTTTGTTCTACTAGTATTTAGATTAGACACCTTGTACCTATATCATAACAGTCTTCCTTACTTGACTTCTGAATCGGATAAATTAGATAGACTTGAAGAGCTATCTTATTAATCGAAAATACAAGTGGTTCTACCTGAACCTCTATAATATCCCACATTTTTGGCGAACATGGTCGATACACTTTTTCCATTTTTCGGGAGAAATTAATGTTATTCCTTCTTTAAAAAGAATTTTCATGTCTTCAAATTTAAATGTTGAGTTCTTATTTGCTACGTATTGTTTAACGTCAACCCAGATTAATTCAATAGGGTTAAGTTCACATTGATACAGAGGCGAAGAATTATTTTGTTTCGCTTCTTAGCCATCTCATCTGTTACATACCTATCATATTGTTTTTATGTTACTTAACAAGTTTAAGATGTTTGATAATCTTAAGCATATTTGCGCGTCGTCTCGAATATTTTTGTCAGAGTCGAATTCAGTTCAATTTGTATAATTTTTTCAAAGTGACTTCTTGTATTCGTGTCACCGCACCTTAATCAAATTTACCCTCTGAGCAACAACAAAGCGCAACTGAAATAAGACACGTGCAAACTGTAACTAAAAATGAGATACTCTTTTGTCAGAGGACTTGGGGTATTACTTTATTACTAAACAATAAGACGAGTAGCACATTGTAATTCCAAAATTGTTAATTTTTCTTGTTTTTAGCAAAAACATAAAATCTCGTTACAAAACGGCTGGATTCAAACATCGTCCTCCGATTATTCGTGGCAAGACGGATATCAGTTCTGTTCCCGAAAGTCAAACTAAACTTTCAAACAAAAAGTATTTTTGTATTTTCAAAAAGCAATCTACGCACACCCCATTCAACGAAGACGAAATTGCTACCATGATTCAAATGGAAGACGAAAAAGACAAAAGTGATAAAAGTGAGGGAAATGGAGGAGAGAAACAAGATGAGAATAAACAAACGGTAAGTCTTTTTTGTAAGCGCAAATGCACTCGTCAAAAGAGACGAACAAGAAAAGTGTTTAATCTTTAACAACTTTTTAATACTTTTTTTTTTTTTTTTTTTTTTTTTTAATTTGGTGTCATCGGCGTCGACTACTGCGGCCATTAGCCTCGTGTTCTGTGTAGGCTTTGATACTGTTTCCCAGCGCCACTTTAGGAACAGCACTGTTAATTAGAACCCAACAGTGAATGGTCGAGTGGGGAATCCTACCAAGGCATCAGAATTAATTTTAAATAATTAAATTAAATGAAAAAATCCCGGCCAACGGTGGGATTCGAACCTCAGACCTTCCGATCTCAAAGTCATGACTCTAACCACTGAGCCAACCCACCCCCCTTTTTTAATACTTAAAACAATTTTTGTGACATTTTTTACAACATTTTGTTTAAGCTGCTTTTCCAGTTTTTAATATGCAGTTCTAAACTTTGGCAATTTCTATGGTTCTTAGCGTTGTTTGTCTTTTGGATTGTTGAAATGTGAATGATTTAGTGAAACATGTGGATTTAGATTATTCTGCCTTTATATCTAAAATTATCAAATGAGAATTTAAACCGTAGGATATTTTTATATCCTTTAGGCCACCTACTATCTTTACAGACCGAATCCAGAACTTTTAGGGCTTCAGCGTGCCTACATTACACGCTTATAATGCTTCCGTTTGAGAATCCTATCGCCATCCCCATTCACTCAACGTACGCACTTCTTTAATATACCTTACAATAAAGACATCCGACATGCGGTTTACAAAGTGCGGCCATTTTGGACTACCGCACAGAGTCAGCTCCGGCCTAAAATTCTAATTATACAATTTTTCAGGGGTCTAATATCAAAAGCAGCAAACTCCAAATTTCCCGATATATCGTTTGTAGAGAAAAATGGAATTTTACTATAGGTACCCTATTTGTAACTTTTCTGTTTTTAAATGAGTTTTTTCTCATTTCCCAATAACCACACGAGGGAAAGCGCCCTGGATTTCCGATTTTGGATTTTTTGCTATGGCTTTCTTTTATAGCCTGCGGCATTTTGATCTTGCCTATAAAGGTACGTTTACATCTGACATTTATTGCATGATATTTATGTCTGACAGTTGTTTAGTCCAGTGTAAACACTCAAAAATATATGACCGAGAGAAATTTTTGTGTGTTTACACTGGACTAAACAACTGTCAGACTTAAATCTCATCCAATAAATGTCAGATGTAAATGTACCTTTAGACTTGCCCCCCAGCAATTTTTTGTTCGGCGCCCATTGTTTATTGACAATATGAAAAACATTTGTTTTTAGTTTCTATTTTTTTTTTTTATATCATCGGCATCAACTGCTAAGGTTATTCGCCTCGTGTTCTGTATAGGCTTTGTTACTGTTTCCCAGCGCCACTCTGGGAACAGCACTGTTAATTTGAATTTGAAATAATTAAATTAAATAAAAAAATCCAGGCCAACGGTGGGATTCGAACCTGGGACCCTTGGATCTTCACGCAGAGACTCTACCACTGAGCCACCCACCCCCTTTTTAGTTTCTATTATTCACAGTATTAATTAGTGAGCAGAACTGTGTTTGTATTGAATAAAGTCCTGTATGTTTTCACACCCCAGTTTACTATCATAAATAGCAATCTCCTTTCATGAACAAATCATATATAGCAAACTCCAACCTTAAATATCAAATATATATATATATATATATATATATATATATATATATATATATATATATATATATATATATATATATATATATATATAGCCAATTTTAAATATTATTCAAAATCCTACAGCGATTTTGACTACAATTTACATAAAATAATTTATTTACACACTTAAAAGCCAAAACAGTAATTTTATGTAACGCCCTAATATTTTTTAAATAGTTTTTGTTGTGTAGTGGAAAATTTAGGAAAGTGGACTTTGCTACATTTGATAGACGCCTGATTTTACCAAAATGTTTTTAATAATTTAATACAACTAAATAGAATAAAAGAAGTGAAAAAAAAAATAGAATTTTAGCTATTTATTACACAAGTAAAATTAAAATAAGTAATATTAAAGAAAGAAACAAGATACATAAATCTGTATTTGGATAAGTAATATACAAAATAAAACAAAAAACAGCTATGTTTAAAAAACTGCAGAAATACAAATAAAATTTATTGATTCAAATTAATTTACTGAAATTTTTAAAAATAGTGCTATATAGGAACATAACATTTTGCGAGTAGGTATGCAATAGTCATTAAGAAACTTAATAATATTATTCTTAAAGGTGTCTACGATCCACATATCCTCTCCGGCTATGTTTATCCCTTAAGCCTGTCTTAACAAATACTATTTGGGATCTTTAACTTTTTGATTCTAGTATCAAATTCAAACAGAATTTTCATTCTGGAAATCGTTAAAGATTGTCTAAAAATTATCGTTAAGTCTTAAGGATATAGATGTCAAATCGTAGGTCACGTCATTTTTCCTAACGCAATAAACGTACTTGTAATAATATACCAAATAAGGTCGTATGCGATAAAGTATGTTGATATTGAAATGAAGCAGTGCAGCCGTGTAGGAGAAATATACATGCTTAAAACTAAAGAAAATAATTATGTGTCAATAAAACGATTTTCCTTGTGAAATACTTTATTTTAACATCATAAAAAGCTTGTTAAATTTATAAAATAAACAAAATACAGTATAATAATCTTATAAGAAAATATCGGTGTCAATTTTGATACAAATCTTCTTGCAATAAGAATAACGTGTACAGATACATTGATCTTCAAATGAATTACATATTTTAATTCAAAAGCTGCTTGATGGTTTAGCATTTGACACAGTGTGGCTTGCCACTGTCTACTTGGAATGATTGATCTTTCATTATTGGTTTGGAGCATTTCTGAAAAAGAAAAGTACATTTATTTAAGTAACATATTATTAAGGTAATGAGAAAGGAAATAATATAATATAATTAATTTTCGATATGATAAACGCAATTGGATATATAATATACTGTAAAATTTTATTAAAATATATTTATATATTAAACTTCAGCAAGGAAGTCGAGATAATACTTGTTAAACTCATAATAGATCTCGTTACATAAAATATTTATGATTTATTAAGGTAATAAACTAATAATATATTTGTACTCAACTATTCTATTTATATATATTTGTTAAAGGTATTTATATAGAGGACCATAAAAATATTAACTTTTCAAAGTTATTTTAGGATGTACTCGTAATAACAAAGTTGTTGACATTCTATTTTTACTTTACATTAAATATGTTAAATGCATACTAATATTGCACCTTTTCTTTTGACATTTATGATGTTACAAAAAAAAAATAGTAACAATATTATAACAATTTCTGCACAAAAAAATATGCCTATTAAAATGATATATGTCTCTTATTAATGCCAAGTGTCAATTTACCATTACTAATTTTCACAATTTGTGCCAAGATATATTTTTAGTGGAAAGATATTCATAGACGTTTTGTAACTTATATTTAGTTGATGACATCTATACACCTATCTTAATCAAGAATGTTTACAAAACATGAAAATTGTAAACAGTTTCTATTATTAATTTTACGTAAAAAGTATTTAAAAAAATTGCGGGATCACATCTCCTACGTCATCGGCTACAAGAAAGATTTGAATGTGCAGTGAATATTTGATCATAGAAACGCATTTATATATCTAGTATGTTCCAATTTTTACTTTCCTACCTGTATACACATAAGGAAAGTATAGGAATCATGGTTTTTTCGACTTCAAGTTTCCGACGGATTTTTACGTTTTGGGGTTCCTGAATCCGTTTTGACTATTTTCGAGATGGTCTGTGTGTGTGTCTGTGTGTCTGTATCCACGATAACTCATGAACGGATACAAAGAAAAACACCAAATTTTAAACTTAGGCTTTATTCTGGCCTGCTGTGAATTGGTTAGATTTTGGGCAAAGTCGGAACATTTGGGGGGTATTTTATAGAGGGTCTTTATATTTTATGAAATATATCTATTATTTACGTTTGGAGAAGAAAGTTCTTCAAATAAAAATTACTTTTTATGTTATTTTTTATAATTTTTGTTCCATACAAAATTTTCCTAAAATGGCTATTCGACAAAGAACCCCGCACAAATCTTATGAAAATTGGCTCCTGGTCAAATTGGCTGAAATTTGGAAATGTTGTTCGTTTCGGCATCCTGGGCAAAAGTCTCAATGGACACAAAACTCAATTTTGCTTATTTTGGCTCCTACGGAGTTCCACAGCTCCACGGATTGACTATTATTTACTAGGTACTTAAAAAGGCAATCTCCTCGAAAGTTTAGTATTTGCTGCGTTAAAAAAGAAGTACCTTCTTATGTTTTCGGGGTCGCTGCATTCAAATCCAATGCCAATATAATATTATTGACAAGTGACAGCTGTCAACTAGCTGTCAAACAAGTAATAATCAAAATTGATAAAATCCACATGTAAATATCTGTTTTTGAGGTTGGTAAGTTCAAAACTGATGTTAACAACTCGATATTGACAGTTGACAGCTGTCAACTAACTGTCAAACAGTATGTGACAAACAAAATTGACAAAATTCAGGAGTAAATAGATGTCTTTGCTGAGTTCAAACCTTATGTCAAAAAGACGATATTGACATTTAACAGCTGTCAACTGTCAATATCGAGTTGTTAACATCAGTCTTGTACTCAGCTGCCTCAAAAACATGTATTTACATGTGGATTTTATTAATTTTGATTGTCACATGCTGTTTGACAGTTAGCTGACAGCTGATCACTGTCAATATCGTCTTTTTCCTATCAATTTTGAAACCAGCAACCTCGAACACATCTACTTACTCCTGAATTTTGTCAATTTTGATAGTCACATACTGTTTGACAGTTAGTTGACATCTGTCAACTGTCTATATCGAGTTGTTAACATCAGTTTTGAACTTACCAACCTCAAAAACAGATATTTACTTGTGGATTTTATCAATTTTTATTATTGCTTGTTATTTGACAGCTAGTTGACAGCTGTCAACTGTCAATATTATTATATTGGCATTGGAATTGAATGCAGCGACTCCGAAAATATAAGAAGGTTCTTCTTTTTTAACACAGCAAATACTAAACTTTCGAAGAGATTGCCTTTTTAAGTAGTAAATAATGGTCAATCCGTGGAGCTTTGGAGCTCCGTAGGAGCCAAAATAAGCAAAATTGAGCTTGGTGTCCATTAAGACTTTTGCTCGGGATGCCAAAACGAACAATATATCCAAATTTCAGCCAATTTGACTGGGAGCCAATTTCTATAAGATTTGTGCGGGGTTCTTTGACAAAATCAATTTTTTATGAAAATTGTTCAAATAAAAGTTGTTTGAGATACAACTCTCCATAAATGTTGCCCCTCACATAATTTCTCTAAAATGGACCGTATTCGAGATATTTGAGAAAAAGTGTAAATTTCGAATTTTGAAGAAAACTCAAAAACGGATAAAGAAAAAAATATTAAATTTTAAACTTAAGCTTTATTCCGGCCTGTGGTGAACAGATTAGATTTTAGGCAGAGTCGGAACATCTGGGGGATACTTTATAGGAGGTCGTTCTTATATTTCATGGAATATATCAGTTATTTATGTTTGGAGAAGAAAATTGTTCATATAAAAGTTACTTCTTACTCTCTATAATTTTGGTTCCATACAAAATTTTCTTAAAATGGTCCGTATTCGAGAAATTTTACAAAATGTAAAAAATTCTGATTTTAAGAAAATTGTTGAACTAATGTTTGCGATATTGATCTCTATATTTTTGTTTTTTACATAATTTTTCTAAAATTTTAATTTTTCAGTATTTTCGTTGGCAATGAATGTATATAGAAAAATATTTCGAGTTAGATGTATGTAAAAAATGTATATGTTTTGTTAAGCTCTAAACATTTACAGAGGTGCTAAAATAGGTTGTACAAAATAACCAGAAAAAGTCCGTAATAACTAGATAGGAAAGTCATGTGTTGGACACATCGGATTTTTGACAAAACAAACCATTCTATCATTAAATTTGATATATACATTTTTAGTTTAATTTTTAATATTATTCGCAAGCAGAGCTGGGCAGTACCCGAGTACAAGTACTGGAATATTGTACTCTAAGTACATTTTGGTAACTCAGTTCCTGGTACCACCGAGTACATTTTCAATAAAGTACCTAATCGGTATTCGTACCCGTAGTAAATCGGGTAAAAGTATCCGGTACCCGCGTTTTATACGATAGCATGTTTCCGAGTACTTTTTATCTGTCTGAATTTACCTGTGCCTTCCCAAGCAGCAAGGTATCGTCATTATGACGTGATTTTTTGTGTTTACTAGTCAGAAACGTCACTATCCCAATTAATGACGTTACTTTGACGTCGTTTTTGCAATGTTAATAATCGCGTCCACATTGAGCGAATCGTCTCGCAAGGCTGCCTCGCGAAGCAAATGCTCGCTTAGTGTAGACGTGCCTCGCCCTTAATTTTAAGACGCGCTGCCTCACCCGAGACGGCCTCGCCCCGAGCCGAATGCTGTCGGTAACGTGGACGTGCTCAAAAGAGTTTCAATTCAGAAATATGAATTTGCCTTGCATAAGAAGGTTGTCGCGCGAAGCAAACTAATTTTTTCTGGAACCAGATTCAACCGAGGCAGGCTCGCGAGGTAAAAGCCCGAGGCTTCCTCGCGAGGCAATTCGCTCAATGTGGACGCGGCTAATTAGACGTCAATACAGACTCGTCATTATAAAGAATTTTTTTAGTATTAATTTATCCGAAATACAATATCCTAATCAGTAACGTGTATTTGATGTCGCATTAATGACATAGTATAGACGTCACTTAGAATTCGTCATAATTACGTTATTTTTTCGTATATTTCTGGCAATGTCAGATTGTCAATTGTCATTGTTGTTTCCTGTTTCCTCTATCTTCATGATTCTCGTAAGTGACATTCGTGACCTTGTGAACGTGGTGCATTTTTAAATTGTACTTTATTTGATAAGATGTTTTAGAAAAAGGTAAAAAATAAAATGTGACAAAATAATAAAGTATATTAAACCGAATTTGGTATTTTACAGATGTATTGCATTGTTGAGTTTGAAAAACCGGATGATTACGGTCTGGCGGTTGTGAGGCTGACAGAAAATGGCTGACGCTGCGTAAAAACAAGTCTTTTGGCCGCCTTTATAAAGAAATATATAAAGAAATATACTATAATATAAGACTGGTGAGTAATGTTATACTATTATTCTTTGATTATGAGTTCTTTCAGGTTATTTTTTTCATTGTTTATTTAAAAATAAAAGATTTTGATTTAGATACCTTTTATCATCTCATAGAATATATGATCTTTTTTATTAACTCAGGCTATATGTATTCCTCTGAGAAGGTAGTTTTTAAAACTAGATACACAATGTACTCTCTATCTTTAAGAATTTTCAGTGGTCTGTATTTTAATAGTTCTTTTATTTTAGATGATAATGATAAGTGATGTACCAAATTAAAAAAGTCGAAGTTACATCAGATCTACATTCCAAGGCTGATAAAGTACCTACTAAAAGAAAACAGGTGCCAACTGGAAAGCTGTCATTCGATGATACTGAAGATGATGAAATCGTAAAGCATGCTCGCCCACCCCCAATTAAAATCAAATCTACAATTTTAGGTATGTTGTGTCAGTTTCTCTAATATTCTTTTGTCATTTTATTCCTTTTGGTTTCTTGCTCATGACTTTTTTATTTACCAGTGTAATTTATTTTTTATAATATATTTTTCATATGTTTTTTGGATTAAATAACTTTCATCTGCTTGGTATTTTTAATAATTCCATCCAACCATAGGATACCCAATATAGACGTCACTTTGACGTAAG